AAAACATGTGTCATTTTGTTGTTCGTGATCAGATATCAATAACAGGGTCATTAATGTGAAGTTAATGTGAATTTGAGCAAACAAAATTGGTAAAATTTGATATAATGTGATAAAAAATATGTGAACCTATTACATACAGTAGTCTGTCTTAAAATTTGTAAATGAAAAGAGATTTCCTGTACCATATTAAAATCATTGACACATTATTTAAATCCTCTGTACACACCTGTATCGCCAGACTTACTACAATAGTTGGTTACCAATATATTTCAGGACGTTATCCAAAAAATCCACGGTCTGATGTGTGGGAAGGATGACACAGCAGTCGTACGGGCAGAAGAACAGCGGCTTGGGCGGTTCCCAGAGTGCTGGGAAGAGAGCGACAACCAATGGGAAGACGTGGACGACACGACTGTGGCCTCGTCACGAAAATGAAGCTGTAGTAACATGTTTTATGCTTAAGATATTTAAGTACAAGCTTTAAAGATATTTCACAAAATAGTATCCAAGCAATTTTTGTACACTTGTACGTCAATTGAAACGTAGACCAGCGAGTCCTCATCCTTGTGAAAACTGCTGATAGTGAAATCATTAAATGTTGAAATATACGTAATACTACTAATAGCGGCAAAAATAAATTGCATTTTGCTTTTCCTTTCAATTTGCAGAAAGGGATGGGAAAGGCACTAAAGAAAACTAGGAAAAAGATGAACCCCGGAACTACGGACACTGTCTGAGGAAGACATAAGAAAGCTGACAACCGTAGTACCGTTGCGCCATGAAAGTTTCGGTGAACTTTGGGTGGCAGCCAAGACCATTCTTCGAAAAAATCTCCAAAATGAAGTCCCTTGATTGGAAACAGGTATGATATATAATTAATTAAATTCTTAATGCACTCAATGTTGTGTTTGTTTATCCCATGTCTAAGTATAACAGCGGACTCTACATATTTTGACACTGTTTGTATTATTGTTCGAAAATAAGGTTTGTTCAAGGACACTAAATACATATTTTGCCAACCCCAAATGATTTACTAGTATTTTCTCGGAGATTATGTGTGAAGGAGATACGTACGAGCACCGATATGCTTCATAAATGCCCAATTTATAATGTTTCGCTTATTATATATCCCTTACGAAATGAAAATACGTAATAAAAATACGTTACAAAATGATTCTTAGCTAAAAATAATGTAAGAGTTTTTGCTGAAATGTTTTACAGCTGACCTCACATGCATATGGGATATTCTAGTTCTGCGTGATGGACATGCTGGGGGAGGACCAATGCGAAACGGTGCAACATGCTCTGTGATGTGCTGTCCGCGCTTTGTGCGCCCACGGTAAACAGAGCTAGACTCCCGGACCTGGAGAAGGCTGTGCACAGATGCCTTGCTCGGATGGAGCGGGACTTTCCTGTTGCCATTATAGTGAGTAATTGATGTTGCTATCTTATGTTGTTCTATTTTTCCACATTTATAGTGTATTTAATGGTACGATGTTGGGGAATAATCCTTAGGATTTAACATTAAAATATTTTCACTACTCCAGAGAGTTAAAATAATATACACCAGCTAAATATTAATTGTACAATTGTAACGACAAAACAAGGCTGGGAGTAAAGTTTATAAATATGCAACAATTAATTGCCGTAATTTCACCACCACCCCATTTTACATTTGTTTGAGCCAATTTCACCTGAACCCGTCCCGCACTATCCAAACAAATATGGCGGGCTGCATTTCTTATACTTTATGTGGGGCAGTATCTGTCGATATCAGTCAGCTTGCCTTTAGAATATTTCCAATTTTGTTTCCTTGTAATTTCATTTGATACCTTTAAATCTCATTAAAAACGTTGTAAAAAGTAAACACATGCCTTTATTGTTACACTGGGACAATGAGCCGTAATCGGTACACTAGATAAAATACGTCAAGATACACTAGATAATCTACAAGGAATGAGGTTAAAAACCAATTGATTTTACCCCCTTGTTACAAGACCGTACTGTCTTGGTTCTTTGTTTCAACCAATGATTTTCAACCTCCTTGTTTGGACCGTATGTTTCTCTTAAAATATCGATCACTATAACTATACAAATATTTATCGTACTAGTAATAATTTACTTAAACATTCAGTACGGGAATGAAATTGTTTTGGCCTAAAGGATTATCTACGAACGCATGAATCACTTCCTGTCTGAGAGGGTGACCAACAACCAGCACCCAGAGGCTACTATAGTTTAGTCATATAGGGTAAGTCATTTGCTCATTTTAATCTTCCATATACCGGCACATGTACGACGGGTCGGCAGACCTGCTACAGAACATTGACAACAGGTAATGATTTCTAGCATACATGTACTTATATAAAATAAATTGTGTAGTTGAATACATTAGAGGGGTTTTACGTTAATCATAAAAATAGTGAATGTAGTATACCTCCATATTTTTATTCTGTAATTGCACTATCGTTAACAATTATGCTTATTATATCCTTTGGACATTTTATGCATTTTCTAATTCTTGTAATTTGTGTTCTCATTTGTGATTTTTGGATGGTAGTTGCAGATTTCCTTAACACAAGCTGTTTGTTGACAACTTGTCAGAAGTATGCCATGGGAGGCAACACCCTTGTCCCATATCTCAACACGGTTAAAATAGGAAATTTGACACACTATATATATATGCCGCAGACAGACTCACTTCTACATCAGAAAGAGTGCAAGTCTGGCGCCAATCCAAGATACCTTTCTGAACGCACGCCTTTGGCTTACCGTTTCACACGTCCGAAGCACAGAATACATGGAAGCATGGGAAATTGGCGTTCCAACAGCGAGGACGTGTCTAACGGAAGGTGTTACGGTGGCAGAAAAACCGACATAACCGAAAAGAAATGGGGCCAGGCTTTAAAAGACATCATGGGGCACGAGGAGTTATCATCAGCACTGAAGAAACAGGTAAGAACCACAATTCTAAAAGATGGGAAAAACATGGCACCAACCTCCATCCTGGGGCAATCTACCTGTGAGGACCTGAAGAAATTCAGCATTGCTGACGTGAAGAAGGAAATTGAAAGAGGCACCATGAACACCAGAAACACATCCGGCTACAGAAGCCTGGCAGTGCAGATGTAGCTGTTGTTACTGCAGCAAGCATCTGTCTTCGCGTTCGCGTTCCCTTTCCGACCCTGTCTGCACTACAGTGCAGAAACAGTTTCGTACTATTAGAAGCAGGGGAAAAGGTCGGTTTTCAACGACTAAACAGGCAACAAATGTGCATGTCGCACAAAAGGACAATCATAAAACAACTACAAGAAGGGATATCGCATGAAAATAAAAGTACTGACATGGAAAACGGAAATTAAACCCTTTTTCCAAGCACGACGTATAGTTGACATCCTCCATGAAGTGAGTGCAGAGAGGGAGGTATTGGAGAAAAAAGCCATGCTGCACAATTCGCGTAGTAGCTTATTCAGCATCATCTGTTTTACGCTTTCCTTTGCGCTGTATATCTTTGAAAAACATGTGGTGTCGGACTTCTTATACATGTAATACGATGAAGTCACTGTATGTTTTCTAACAAATAGAACCATGCATTCTAGGACCTTTGTCTCTACAGGGATAATAATTAATAATGACATCCAAGACGAGTCAGTTATCAACATCAACCAGTAAGTGGTCAACATCGATTATCCTCCAGGATGAGCCAGCTGGTGGGTCATTGTGTCATGATTTTATGTTGCAAAAAATACGATGCTGTTGACAGATGTCTATTAATGACAAGATAATAATACATGTCTCAGTCATTGTGTATGTTATATTGCTATCTCACATGCACAATTCTTGCGGAAGTCAAGAGGCGGGACTAAAAAGACAGC